CCCGCGGCGTTTCGATTCCTTTCTTCTGGCTGCCCTCAAAATGCTCGGTTTGGAAATTCGGAAACGTCCGAGAAAAACGCAAACCTGCAAGCGCGCTCGGAAGAACTTGGTTTAACCCGGCACTGCTACGGCCCCCCCGAGCCACGTTTACTGTCTGAAAAGTCCCCGCATCTCCGTGTCACCCGTGGAAATAAGAGAGCTCCCCAGGAGCAGCTTAATCCAACAGAAGGGGAATTGAATCTGATTTTTTAATAGCAGGCCATTAGACTGCATTTCTCCCTGTCATATCATCGCTTTCTGACAGAGATGGTACACAGCAGTTCCTGAAACCGTGGGTGGGTTTTAAATGGTGGGTAAATAGCTGCTCTCTAAATATAGACCGAGGAATGAGAAAAATTGTGTTTGAAATATATGTCGGGCTCCTGAAAATGAGATTCTCCCATGCAACGACAGGGAGTTAACCTAACATGCGTATCCGAGACGGGCCTGCTTGGCTCATGTGGATATAATTATCCTGAAAGTATATGGAAGACAGATACAATTATGTGGCTGCGGATCACCCAGATAACAGCGATCCGAAGGAATGCCAAAGAGGCCTAGAGTCACAGGCGCAGAGCGGTACCGGGTGTCTTAGAAACACAGCATCATCCACGACTCTGCCAAACGGGCTTATTGCAACCACTGCTCGTGTCTGATTCAAGCTGCTTTTCTGGGAAGACACAACCGAGTGAAAGTGCTCTGGCGGGGTTTCTTTTTCCCTCCCCTTAGAAAAAAATAAAATGCTATTCCATCTGGGTGTTAACATTTTGCAGCAACGTCTCAGTTCCAATGCCAGGGCTGTCGGAGAGGTTGCTGGAGCTCAGGGTGGGATCAGTTTAGAAGGGCGACCTGGCCGCAACCTGCTTCGGGGAGCAGAAGCTCCCAGTTAAAACAACCAAAAAAAAAAAATCCCACCACGTCGGTGTGCATCAGATGCATCCACAGCCAGTGCAAATACCCCTCGCAGCCAGCTCTCCCTCTGGGTTTCCTGTGGTTTCCGTCGGAGAATCACAGAGGCACCAAGGAGCCTCGCTCCTTGGCCAGCCTTTTTTGGAGGCGAGATGAAAACGGGAGGAAACCTACCTTACCTTATTTCAGCTTCATCTTTGAGGTTACATCTGGTAAAAACTGGAACCGTTCCACTGGCTTGAGAGGAAAAGCGTCACGTTAAACAGTTAATGATAAAGACTTGTAACTCCCCAGACTCTGCCAAGGTCCTAACCACTTCCTTGTGGTGCCTCAGTTTGTGTGTGAAACACAGAAATTAAAATTCCTCGGCTGATGACTCATAGTTTAAAAGACACCTTGGGTGAGCAATAGGACACATCACCAAAGGGACATCTGTCTGTCATTTAATCTGATTTCAGCCCTTCTTCCAATCTGCTCCTTCAAAGGGGGGAATCTTCTCCTGGATTCTTCCGCCGCTGCGTCAGCCGCGGTCAGAGATAGATCTCTGCAACAGGCAACTGATCACTGACAGTTCGGCAGGACTGAGGCATTTCAGAGCGGGTTTTGGCACTGGAGAAAGGAAACGCAGCACCTGAAAAGAGCCCTGGAAAAGAGCACGTTTTGTCAGGCCATGAGAAAGGATACAGCGTGAGCAGGAATCTCCCCCCAGGCCCAGACTAGATAAAGAGTACTGTCTGTGTTTATATATGTGTATAAATAATTAAGGTGCCAGATGGCCCTTGAGCCCATGGCCTAGATATAAGCATCTAATTACATTTGGTGTCAATGGGAGTTGGGCATGCAAGTACCTTTGAGGACTTGGCCTGATCCTGGGTAATACTTGCATGTTGCAGAACCAAAGAAACTTGCCGTTTTCTGCAAAAGCCTTTCTCTAGCAGTTTAACTATATGTCTCCTTTTCAAAGTCTGGATTGAGAAGATCTTAGAGGAACAGGTCAACTTGACCTAGGAGGAGAGGCAAAGAGGGCTCCTTGCCTCGATCCCAAACCAGCTCCGAGTGCCACTGATTGACACTGGCAAAAGACTTGTGAGCGCCTCAACCGGGGAGGTGTTTGTTTGGCCTCCGCAGTTTGGTATTCAAGCAGGCTAACTTTCTTCCTGGAGGAGCACTTGCGTCCCAGCTGGCCATTAGAGACATCAAAATACATTAGCTTCACTTAGGCGAGGCCGCAAGAGCGCTCCAGGGACGCGAGCTGCCGGCTCAGAAGTGAGCTGTCTTGCACTCTGACCTGAACGCTGCGCAGGGGAGGCGAAAGCTTCCCCTGGTTAGTCACTGCAATTCTCGCAGCGATCTCTGCAATGGCCCGGATCTAGCACTCGCAAGCAGAAAAAGCTGGAGAACATCCACCCTGCGGGATCCTGGTGAGGTTTGGCAGCGATCCGCAAGGCAGCTCCCAGCACCTCGAGGAAAGCAGGGAGGGAGCCGGTTTCTTTCTGCAGCTGAGCAAGAGGTGGCTGGGACGTGCCGGCACTCTCACCGGGAGGCAGTGTCAGAGGACTGGGTTGAATTCAAGAGTCCTCAGCCAGTCTGGTCTCCTGGATCAGCTCTTCTCCTATTACACTCACATGGTGACAGTCCCTCTAGACATGCAGTGTCAACCACCAGGAATTTCTCTGGGTTTTATCCCTCGCTTGTCCTGGAGGGGTCAGGCACGAACTGGTCCCGCTGCCTGTTTGTTCTTCTGGGTACCAGGAGCACATCCCTGTGCAGATCAGGGATCAGCGTCCTTGCGCTTCACACCGAGGTCAATCAGGAGTGACTCTGCTTGAGTTAACCGGTAGCTAAAGCCAGGCTCCC